CAAACAATGCTCAGCATAAGATCAACCCTACTTTGTCTCTTCCACCAAAACCAGAATCCTTAACGCTCTTTACAAGAATTTGGGCTAATAGACAAATATCATTTTGATGGGGAGAGCTGCCACTACTACAAAAACTGCACCAGCTGAGAGCAAACATGAACTGGTAGATGGGTGCAGTGGCTTGTCTCCCTTGAATGAGTTGGTCAGCTCAATGATTCCAAAGAGTATCAAAGCTGTGGCAACTCAATGAGGCGAAAGGAGCGAATATAGTAAGTGACCCGGCATTCCGGGTCACTTTCCTAACATAATCCAACTGAAATTGGAAATAGGCCAACTTATCCGTAAATTATTTCATGAAAAACTAGTCTTTTTTGCAAGACAGATGATTTGCGTGATGAAACTAAGTCTTAAATGCCAAGTCAGAGAAGACGTTTGACAAGAGACAATAGAATTGCCTCTTTCCAAGCTATTTGGCAAAAAATCATGGCTCAAAGCAGGAAACAAGGCCAAGGTTTAACCACGTAAAAACAAAAATAATTCCGCCTCCCAACTGAAAAGGTTTGAAGAGATTATGGCAGCCACAAAAGATTTTGTAGTACTTGTTATAGCGATACATTACATTCCTCTGGATGGAAGAGGAAGATGACAACAAGAGAAAAACAAATAGTGCTCTCTATATAAAGTTAGGGCCAGAGGGCAAGCAGCGCAAACTCAGCATGGATACATCCGCCTCTCGAGTCAATTGGGGCCGTGGAATGTGGGGCACGTCGACCAGACCTGAAAGACACGACTCCCTACCCTCCCGTCCACTCTCTCTAAAACCTCGAAAGAGGTTCAGGAAATCAATGGGTAGGGGGAAGACTATGGTAGAGTTCTTCTCGGCAGAAATCCCTGCCAGGGTCTGGAGATACCGCAGCTGTAGGGCGATTGGGCAAGCAGAAATCTCCATCGCTGCAGCCTTCAACGACTTGGAGGCATCTTCCTCCCCCTTCGCAGCAATTACTTTTGCTCGAGCCTCTCGTGTGGCCTCCGCTTCCGCTGCCATCGCACGTTGTAGCTGGAGAGGCAACCGAACGTCCTTTATCTCTACACGTTCCACCTTCACACCCCAAGTGTCTGTTGCCGTGTCTAGAGTTTCTTGCATCATCGCAGCTATTTCCTCTCGATCGGTGAGAAGAGCATAGAGGTCCACTGTGCCCAGAACGTTGCGCAATGTTGTTTGTGCTAGCAGACGCGTGGAGCGATTTGCATTCTCTACATTCACTACAGACATGACGGGATCAAATATGCGATAATAGACAACTGCTTCAACAGCAACAGTGACTGAGTCCTTGGTGAGAACCTCCTGAGTCGGTACGTCAAAAGTGAAGGTTCGTAAGTCCACTCGACGCATTTGATCGAGAAAAGGGAGCTTGAAGATAAGACCGGGGCCAAGCGCAGAACTTGATGTGAGTCGCCCAAGACGAAAAATGACCGCGCGTTCGTACTGGGGAATCACACGCAGACAAGCAAGAAGAGAGAATGGGAAACCAAGTATCACAAAAACAATAGTGAGAATTTTAAGTAGCCGCTCACAGATCAGGACTCCGATAACACTAAGGTTCTCA